TTTTTTCGTGACATTGTCCCTTTGAGCGGAGTGTATCAAAACAGAGTAAACACTATGCTTAACATTGAGATAATTATCATCCCGGGTCTTTTAAAATTGTTATTTTCAGTGTTGTATTTATGTTTGTTATTTATATTTATATAAAAAACACACACTTTCCAATTCCAATCTCAGAACTCTTTTTTCTCAGTTACACCAACACGTTTCAACTTGTAAACATCATTTTTATTTCAGACAGTTCCTTTACCAATTCACTGTTCAAGCACTCTCTTGAATTAATATTGTGCTCCAATCTACCTGCACCTTTTTGTCTTATTTAATTTGTGCATGCCGCAGGAATCACGTACTATAAAATCGATTCCTGTACTAGTATTGAAGACAACCTCATCTATAATCATGTGTCAGCCACCAAAGGACATTAGTTAGGATCGCTTAGCGGTCCCTATGTAAAAGTTCACGGTTGCCTGTTGTTGTTGTGCGGACTGCAACACCTTTGCTGTTTGAGCAGGAGCAACATCCCAGCGCGACTGGCCGGCCAATCTTACGAAAATCTCTTAAACGATGGCTAGCCATTTTTCTGTAATCTGATGAAGATACAATCTCGCACATATGCACGGCGCAAAATGTCATCCAATTCATGGAAGCTGCGCTCAGTGCACCGAGAGCCAGCACTTAATTTGTTTGTTTTGGGTTGGGGGGTTTGCTTTGAATTATTGGTGCATGTCTAGCGTCTGTTTGGCCATATCACTTTTCATGCAATTAAGCAAGTAACACTTTGAGTAATGCATTCTGGCTTCAGTTTTAACAACGGTTTTACCTCGTTCTCCATTATGTCATGGATAGCAGAAAGATGATGTACATGGACACTTTCGATACCATGGCCAGATAGAAGAATATATTCAGTTTGGGTTAATATAGTTTAGTAATGACAGAATATTATTTTTCCTAGAGTTCCATTTAACTCCACAAGCCAACCTTTTACTTTTTTTCTAAAAAGATAGCCAATCCAAACTAATTTTTCATTCATGAGTATGCTCCTCAAAAATTGATTTTTTAAATCTACTTATTTCAACTGATCGACTTCCATTCATAAATACTTATTTTGCCATTTATTAAACCTCGTCTACGTTTCACATTGTTTCTTATCCGTTTAAAGAATGACGACATAATTATTTGTTTGTCACACCTGACATCAATTTCATACATTTACAAACATATGCATTTATATGGCTATCGGATGTCCAAGCAGACGACGGACTGCAAGACAGAGTCATTCATGAACTGATTTAACCGTTAACAAAGACATTTAATACGCACAGACACACATTTAATTGCATCATAAGCGATGCATAATGTCTGCTCAGCGAATAAAGTGTGTGCTAAATGGGTGTTTCGCAGATTAACATTTGTTGGATTCATTTTTCAGAATGGAAAATATAAAGGCTGATATGAGAAGATGGTATTCGATTGTAAAATATGAATTACAAAACAGAAAATGGAGTGTGGTAAAATTAATCACGTTATTACCCTGCGTGTAAGAAAATCCCAGCTTGGGAGCTTGGGAGCTGTTTGAGCCAAATAACCCATTAATAGGTATAATAAACCAACTAACTTCAGCATAACCGGTGGGTTGAAAAAATGGGGGTTTCCCTACAAGTAGCCAAGTGTTTCCCCGATAACCAGGTTGTTTCCTAACAATATGTTCCCGTAATCAGGGCAAAAAAACATAAGCATGCTGTAAAATTTTGAAGTGATCATTATCCCTAAACACAACATAATGCCAATAAGCAATGTGGTAACACTTAAATAAACTTAAAACTTACCTTCACTTTCCAATGTTTTCATTCCTAAGCGGTATTCTCCCCACAGGACGGAGATCAATTTAACAACGACAACGAAACACGGTAGATTATTGCAAAACTTATGATTGCTTAAATCTTAACCATGGTAGAAGAACATAGGTAGACGCGTCGACGTAGCTGCTGGGACAATGAACTGACAAACCAATTTTGGAATTGAAAATATTGAATGAAAAATTATTTAAATTTGTAAAAATTGTTGAAAACGCGAATTATAATAGCATCCGAATGACGTAGTATAAGAAAACATATAAAAATCTACTTATATTTGGCAAAACATTTACATTTTTTTTGACATATCAATGCTCCCAAGCGTTGATGCATCTACCTGTATTCTTCTGCCATGATTTTAACATAAACTGACATCAACTTATGCACCACAAAGATACTTATTAATACTCTCTCTCTCCCTTTTTTCTCTTTCTCTTGTGGCAAGCCACCAAAAAAACACACACACACTGCAACAATAAACAAACATCAACAAATAAAAATGATATGACAAAACATTTTTTTTAATTTCTTTATCGGAATTTGACTGAATTTCATTTGTTTTGCGATTTTCAATTGATATTTTTCACAATTTATTTCTTTAATTGCAACTTTTTTAGTTAAAAGAACGAATTCACGAAACGCGACTACGGACAATCAAGCCGGCAACTGATGAGAATGGAAGCACAAGAAAAACTGAACGAAAACAAATGTTAGGGTTACCGTGTACTAAATATTTAAATAAATATAAGGAATCTTCATTATGAAAAGAAACACGTGATCATGATAGAATTAAGAAGGTAAAGTCATGCAATCATATATTAACAATTTTTTTAAAATAGTTCATTTGACAACATCTCATTGTCAAAATTTATATTTATGAATTCATTGTAAGTACACAAGTCAAAGAGTGGAATTTGTTTTCTATGCAGTGTAATTTGACAAGATATCATGCTACGATTTAGGCCATGGCCTACATGAGGTCGATCAGTAAGCCTATCTGACAACTCTGTTTTCTGCCAAAAAACATATGATTTGAATAAAAAGAAATCACAACAGTGCAAAAACTACCAAGTACTAGTCTTCTTGGTCGACCTTACATAGGCCTTGATTTAGGCGGAACCAAGACATTTCCCTGCCAAGTGTCTCTCAACAATAAATGACAAAATAACAACATTTATTCAAAACTAGAAATTAAGAACAAAATAAGAAGCAAATCTTTACAAACTCGAAAGAAAATTGTGCTTGGGAGAAGTAACTCTTTAGAAATGTCGCCAGTTTTTCGAAGAAGATTTTACAGAGAAAACGTAATTTGTTTCGATTTTTCGGCACGAGGTATTGCTCCCTGTGTTATGTTTATGCTTGTAAAAAAAAAAACATTTTTTGTATCTAAATTATTAAACTTTTTATACCCTCCACCATACTTTCGGGTGTATATTATTAACCGCTACAACCTCGAAATATGTACTTAACAATATATATAATCTTCATCAGCGTAAAATTATAAGTCGATCTAGAGATGTCCGTCTGTCTGTTGTAGTCACGCTATCTTTCGAGCGAATTTAGATAGAAGACTAAAATTTAGCACAAAGTGTATTTTGCCAGTAGGCAGGTTAAGTTCGAAAATGTATTATATCGTTTTTGTATAGCCCTCATGGCGGTACCTCCCAATATTCGATATTTTGATCATTGTAGCGGCATTATTCATCCGAACTGTGTCAAATTTCGTATTAAAAAACACACAAACACAATCTGTGACAAAAAAATTATGTATGCAGGTCCTCATCTTCGTATAGCTCCATATAACGGTTTTCATTTAAATGGTATCTTTCGACGATTTATTTAAATTTGTAAGTTCTTTCCAAATTGTGGAGGATATTAAAACTTCGTCCCGGCCGAACTTTGGTGTTTTTAATTGTTACTATTATTATTATTTTTATTATTATTAAATTAAATTGTTCGAGAAAGGTAAAACTTACATTTTTTCTAAAATATAGCTGAGCAAGAAGGTGCTCTAGCGCACGCGACCAATGTTCTTTGTTTTTATTAAACTAACAACCAATAAAATCTTACTAAAAGATACTAAGTTTGGTACAATTTCGTGTGTTCGGGTCCCACATAAATCCACTTAATTTAAATCCATTTTTTCGCATACGAAGTAATGGGTATTTACTAGTGTTATATATTTGGTCATGTCTGTCTTCCAGTTTATTTGAACCAGAGTACTTTATGGTACAGCCCCAATTCAACAACATCTTACGATTTCGATCTCGAGAACAAAAAATAAGAATTAATTTCCCATTTTTTTTTTTTTTTTGTAAATCGGACATAAATTTACTCCCATATTTTATATTTTATGCTTTAACCACTTTCTAACAAAAAACCATAAATTTAATACAAATTTGGAATGCTTGCATATTTTAGAACTTTTAAGATCATCCAATTTAGCCTAAATTGACTAAAATCGACATGTCAAAGAGGTTTTATATCCCTTCTTAATTTGACTCTCATTTCCTCAACGCTTATTTGCAACACCCTTTAGACTTTACTTAATACTATCGAAATGGAAAAGATATTTGCACACATTTCCATCCGGATTTAACAACAGCAGATTAGTAGCACAAGCTTTTCGGGAATAGACCATGTTGATGACTTATTTGACTTAAATTTGTATTCTCAAATTATTATAATCGCACTTCGGCTGGTAAAAGTGAGGAATGCAAAAACGCCATACCTAGCATCTACCGAAATCTTATATTCACAGTGTGCCGGCAGAGCTTACTGGAGCAGTGTGTCTGGCGGTGCGGGAATGGGATTTGCAAAATGACCATCTCTTGAAGGTCATTTGTAACTCTAATCTAACAATTTTGAAAGTCTCTTTTTTGTCTTTGCTCAAATCTTGTTTTTTGTCATTTTGGTCGAATGGAAAAGGGCCAACACAAGGCATACACTGGAGAAGGGCGTACATGCAGAGAGTGATGTGTGACACATTGAATTCATCCAACCGCCCATTCATTCATTGGGCCATACGCTTGTTGGCAAACTAAACCAGTCTACGTCGGTGTCTCGGGCTGTTTTGGTATAAAAGCTACCTGAAACTATTCTAAAGTCATCAAAAGTTTTATTGCATTTATCGTAAGCAGTTGTGCGGTACAATTATCACGTACAATAGACCAACTGACTTGCCCGACTGACAATAACGCCCAGCACTTCCTGCTCGCCTTCCATAAGGATTAACAACGCCCTGCCCAACGACACTCCTTGGATTGTTTGTGAAATTGTGTATGTGACTGTGTGTGTCCGTGTATCAGTGCAGTGCAAATAAAGTGTACCAAACGAACAGAGTTTGAAGTTGTTCCACATCAACAACAACAGCAATAATATCAACAAATTATTACAAACTCTCTTTTTACAAATTAAAAACTTTTCTCGCAAGCTATGAAGTGGGTATGTGATCAGCAGAAATATTTAAGAACAAACAAAACAATTGTCAGTGACACCAAAACAATCTTAAAGACAATACCGGAATTGTTTTAAAGCATGCCATAAATCAAAACCCTCAAGGGATTTTCGAAATGTTCCGAAACCCACACCACACAAAAATATCTATGCACTTCAAAGTGTTGTACAAAATGATTTAAAGCAAAGGAAATAGTGTGGGGGTAAAGAAACGTATTTGTCTGGAAGCGAACACACCAGATGGATCCTGTGACCCGATTCAACCTAACTTTTTGTTTATAACCTTCTTTTTTTGAGCCCTTCTCCCTTTTTCCCTTGCATCCAGTACTACCAAGGGCGTTCAAGTCATATGGATGCAATATTTAGATATATGTCCGACATTTCGGTTATAGGAATCCTTCTTTGATTTCCATGTCCAGTGTTCCATGCCAATCAACATTGTTGACATGGTTTTATCATTTCATTTCTTTGTATTTTATGGGAAATCTCAAAGGTAATACCGAAGTCACTTTCATGCTCCATAAACTGATTTCCGTAGTAATCCAATGCAGCGGCATGCCACCAGTTGCAAGTTTAATGTGGCACATAATTTATACGAGCACTCTGTTCACTTGTTGTCGTTTTCCTTTTTCCATTCCAGCTGTTTGTATGTTTGTGCCTCGGCGTGTTGGCCAGTAACATGGTTACGGCTTCTTATCCTGCGCTGCATGCTGCCCTCCATTTGGCCCAGCAAAAGTCAATAACAAATCCACAGGATGTGCGTAACTCTCTCGAGCAGACATCGGACTCATCGGAAATTGGAAATGATTTTGGCGCTACCGTGAGCTCTTCAGAAGATTATGATGCCCATCCTCAGTACAGCTTTGCTTATGATGTCAGAGACTCGCTAACCGGTGATGATAAGCAACAGGAAGAGAAACGTGACGGTGATGTGGTCCAAGGACAGGTAACATAAGACGCCGAATGGGTGCTGTCATTTACACGGGCTTAATTAATTTCCACATTCTCTTTCTGTACAGTATTCCCTCATTGAACCCGACGGCACTCGCAGAATAGTCGAGTACACTGCCGACGATATCAACGGTTTCAATGCCGTCGTCTCGAAACAGATGTCCGATGAACGCGCTCGTGCTGCTTCTGCTGCTCCTGGTACCTCTTCTTCGTCCCGCTACAACAGCATTGAGGTTTTGCAATCACAAATCCAAGCTCAGGCAATTGCCGAAGCACAGGCCCAGAGTGCAGCATATGCTGAGGCACAAGCCTTGGCTGAAGCCCAGGTCAGAGCAGAGGCAATGGCTCAGGCCCAGCAAAACTCCCAAGCAGAAACTCAAGCCAGAATCCAATCCGAAAATCAAGCCCGTGCCCAAGCCCAGCAGCTGATGGAACAATTTGAACAACAATACAAACAACAACAATTGCAACTGCAAGCTCAACAACAACTGCAACGTAGTCAACAACAACAACAGCAATTGTTGCGTACCCAGTTCCAACAGTCCCAGGATCGCATCTCCAACGACCAGGCTTTGCTTCTGTCGCAGTCGTTGCCCTCTCAGGCCTTGGGTCACAGTGTGCATGCCACCGTCGTCAATCACCCACCCAGTCTATTGTCGCGTCAATCCACCGGAACTGTATTCGCCCAGTCGCATGACATTCCCGCCCTAAAAGAAATCCAAGAGAGCACTGCCCGCCTCAATATTGAACGCACAGGTCAACCTCAAATTGTCATTACCCAACCCGCCAGCGCCACTGTCCAGGCCCAAGTTATTCACTCACCCATTGCCACGCTTTTGGAAAGCAGCAATGGCCTTCGATCTGGAAGTGGTTCCATTATAACGACAAGAATCTCTACGAATGGACGTACCACTGGATCCGGCTCAGGACTGAACATCAATGGAAACGGACGTCACGGAAGCAGCGATCAACTGTTGAACGGTTTGGACAGCAGCGAATTGCAAAATGCCCTCTCCCGTCAATCGGCTACATCCAGCTCGGCCAGCATTCGCATTCTGAATGGTAATGGAAATGGCAATGGTAACGGCAATGGCGATGATGGCAACGGCAGCCGCAACGGTGGCAGCAACGGCAATGGTCACTACACCTTTGAATCGTTGGGAAACAACGACAGCTTGGAATTGCGTCTCAACGGCAATGGAAATGGTCTCAGAAATTCCTTGCGTCAGCAACAGAATAATCGCCGCTTGCAGGGCATCTATCATTCGAATGGCAATGGTAACGGCAATGGCAACCGCAATGGCAACGGTAACGGAAATGGCAATGGAAACGGCAAATCTCTATGGTAAGGAGGAGGAGATGGACACACCGCAGCAAACAAACGCCACTCCATAAAAAGGCAGGACGAAAGCAGAACAACGATCTTCAGTAGATTTTAGAAAAACCAAATACAACACACATACCCCTCCCACTCGACTTGGCACCTGGACCACGGCTAACTCTTCAAGGACCATGACTCTCGTATAACCACAAAACCAACAGCAGCAACAACAACAACCAGAAAACAACAATTATAGTACAGTGTTTTTGTTTTTGTTCATAGTTTGTAAGCCTTAGTGTAATTTGCATTTGTTAGTTCTCTTATCGCAATTTCTTCAATTGTTCACATCATTTGTATTTATTATTAGAGTTCATTTCAAGATAGTTTTCTATTCTATTCTTTATTCTTTATCTTCTTAGAAAGGGATTTGGGAATTTTCGTATAACTCAACACAAACTCGATTACTAATACTAACACACTTACCTCTTGACTATTTGTACGCTTCTATCTCCCGTACAAATAATGTCTGTCTATAGACCCTCCATCAACTGATTTCTTACTCGTTATCTACAATATAGCGTTGACGTTTCCGTATCCTTTCATTCTGCATCCTCAAACAAACAAAAGAGTCTTCATCTTTACCTCCATTTTGTGTTGAGGTACTAGAGTAACTCGCTCATAAAATCAGACAGCTCTTAAACTGTCTCCTTTAAAATGAAACAAAAAAGTTTTATTTCCTTCTTTCTCTCTATCCCTACCTTTATAATATCTTCATTGTGTCCCTCTACATCAACAGATATACATTACAAAGTAACTTACACACATTCATACAAACAAACACATACACATTCATACATACATTTATTGTGACACTTTTGTTGTATTTTTCTTACTTTATGTATTTTTTATTCTTAACATTTTTATTTTGTTTTTTTTTTTTTACAATATCTTTATGTTTAACAAACGTTTTCAGTTTTATTTTATTTTTCAACTCTCTCTGTGTTTTTAATATTTTTAGTTGCTAGTCGCTTAAGCTTATATTAAAACAAAAAAGATGGCATCCTAAAAAAGCATTACAAAAATAAAAAATTATTTAATTTTGCAAAGAACTTTGACAGTTATTTCTCTTTATCTATGTAGGGCAAAAAAAAAACTAGAAGTGAGTATCATTGATTGACATTACTACAGAATACTAGATAATTAAAGAGTCTACTTATCGCCGGTGATGAAATCATGGCATTGATAGCGATCTGGAAATATAATGCCACTTTCGTGCATAAAATATCACTTTCGTGCATAAAAACATTACTCCCTGTTTATCCTGGCTATGACATGTAGAAAAACTAGGGAAAGTCTATATAATTAACATAAGAGTTGAGTATTACAACAAAATCCGTACTAAAATATTACGAAAAGTACTAAAAGTTATTAAATGTGCTATGTATTGGGCGAATTGATACCAATAGAATTCTGAAATTTGGAATGAAGGGCCACTTGTGAAGTTTAGCATAGATGTACCAAAGGGTTCCTTGAAAATGCAAACGTTAAATTCGTACATTTAAAGTACGTAAATACTAATTTGCTAGATCTCGCTGTGAATCTTAAAAAAATGCAGCATAAGAGCTTGTACTGTGAATTTTGGTATTAGGATCACTCCGAGTATGTAGCGTTTAGACAATGAGGTGGATTTAAAAATGAGTACTATTACTTGTTCGAAAAGCAGTAAATGGTACTAAATTTGGTATTGAGTGTAGCAATAAAATTGTGGAGGTATGGTAATAGAAATCTGATATTGTGAGCTTCGGCAAGTGTGTGGGTCTAGAAAAAGGCGTGGATTTGGATGTAACTTGAATTGTGAAAAAGGAAATATCCCACATGGACCATGACACAACAAATGCAAGGTAGGACAGACTCATTAAATACATCTCTGAAATACAAAATACAACTCTAAACCTTTTGCCTTGTTTGCCTTCAAATTTACGGAACATTACAGATTTTTCACAAAATCAAGTTTATAATCCGACTAAGTTTCTTTATGCCGCAAATTTGAATCTTAATTTCAGCAATAAAAAAATTCGAGGTTTATTTTTCAAAAATCAAAATTGCATCCATTTTTTTTTGAGCTTTTAATTATGCTTATATTGTACCTGAAGATATGGCCACAATTTTCTTCAATGTGGTGTTAGACGCTTCGAGAGCATAAAGTCGGAAATTTTAATTTTCCAAATTCCAGCTTCTATTACTACATCTATTTACTACTTTTTCATCCGTATATCCCAACACACATCACCACATGTAAAAAATCAAATCATCAAATTATATTTATTCATTAGTGGGATTCTCTAACTCATTTTTTGAGTTACCGACAAATATCGGTAACTTCGAAACTAACAATTTTGATATAAATAAGAAATTATGGTTGACAACATTGGTATCTATCGGTAGGTCTTAGCGACTATTTTGATTTAACTTACCGAAAAATTTCGTTATTTACCGAAATTTAAAGCATTTCAGGTATAACAGTTTCGTAAAACTACAGAAATACAGCCCTGAGGCTATACTCGCTTCCTGTTAGAATTATTCCAATTATATGCAACAAGTTATTATTATTTATTTGATATTTTTGTTCTTTTTATACCCTATAACTCTATGTGTTGGGGGTATTATAAGTTTGATTGGGCCAAAAATTATGTAACACCACGAAATATTGGTTTCCCATATAGGAAAGTATATATGGATCTTCCTAGCTCGCCGAGCTGAGTCGATCTAGCTATTAGCCATATTAATTTGTAATCACGCTACTGGTCGCAATTATGGCCCGATCCTTACGAAATTTTGCACGAAGTTGGGGTTTGGGTCAGAATAGAACCCTATTGCTTTTGGAGATGATCGCCAAATGTTTAGGGGTTGAAATGGACCAAATACTGAAAAAATGTCGGATTTTGCAGTAGCTATACAGGTCGCAATTATAGACCAATCGACGCGGAATTTCGCATGTAGGTAGAGTATAGGGCGGGGAAGAAGCCTACCAATTTGGGTGGTCATCGGATAACATTTAGCGGGTAAAATAGACCATATCTTTTGTGTTGAAAAAATTCAAAATTTTTCATTAAACCGCGAATATTTTAAATCCCGGCGAAATCACAAAGCCATGACAAGGTTACTTCTGATCTTTACATTGATGTTAACATCCAACAAATCGGATATATAGCAAAATATGTGCGATATATATGTCTATCAAGGAAGATATGCTTGAAAGATCTCTTATATGTCGAGAACGGCGGAACTGATTTCGACAGTTCTCATTAATTCAGAATGGCCTCTTGGCAGGAAAGAAAAAACGTCTAAAAATCGCATAAAAATATCTGTCTAAAGATGAAAATATTGATTTTCTAAAATTTTCTCATATTTTTTTCAATTTTGTCATATTTTTGGCATATTTTCATTTTGAATTTAACATTTGGTAATATTTCTACAGCTAACAAAATTAAGTGGTTAGGATATAAGGATATCATATACAGATCGCATTTATGGCCCGATTCTTACGAAATTTTGCATGGGGATAAGATGAGGGTCAGAATAGAAGCCTACTCTTTTTGGAGATGATCGCCATATATTTAGGGGTTGAAATGGACCAAAAAACTGTAAAATTGTTGGCAGGCCGTAATTATTGCCCGATCCTCACGCACATTTGAATGGGGGTTACCGGACATTGCAAAAGCCAAGCAGTTTCGGATGGCCATCCAAAAATATTCAATGTGTGAAATAGTTTGCCAACTTTTGTAGACAAAATACGAAAATGCCCATTCCGGTGACTTTTTGGAGAATTCACAAATACAGGAAAGACACACTTCTGACTATTTCGTTAACGCTGATTTCGTTGAAGAATATAGTCAAATGTCTGTATCTCATATAGATACGTTTCAGTCAAAAACCAATAATAAATGTTAATCTTTTGCCACTTCTGAGAGGTTATAGGTCTTTGGGAAATATTGGTTCCAGATCTAGGAAGACCATTTACGTGCAACATCTACCAATAAATTAGAAATGCGCAAATTAGTTTAAGTTGCTATTATTCGAAAATTAGAGAACGAAACCTGATGGTTTTCTTTTATTATTTGTCACAATATCTTGTGGAATTCATTCGAGTATCTCGCCTATATAAGCTGTATCACTTATTATAGTGTTGTAGGGTATTCAACGGTCGGCCCCGCTCGACTGTAGCCTTTGCTTACTTGTTTTCAAATGAATTAAATAATGCGAAAATCAAATGAAATGCTTGGACTTTTTCTCAAAAATGTGGTCGAAAGTCTTCAATCTTTCAATTGCATGGCAAATGAAATCAAATGCACGTCAGCAATAATCATTGATTTTTAACATATTTTGTTTTTATTTTTATACATAGATCTATTTTGTCCTCACACCTATGAATAATTTAGGTTGGCTTTAATAAATATATGTATATATCCCTCCTATGTTCAAGTTAGCAAATAAAATCTGAAAACTTTCCAAATTCTGTTCAACACTTAATGTTAACATCAACAAATCACTGAAGAATTCAAAAGATTTTGAATTAAAGTGGACAATTTTCCCGAAGTCATACGGATTTTCAATTGTTTCCATTGTGGAATGGATGTGAATGGATGCCGTTTGTTCACTTTAAAGCAGTTGTTCATTTAATGGCCTTCCGACAAACAAACTACATTTGTCTTGTCTTCCTTTCATTGAGTTCATTCATAGTTTCCATTGTTCACGGATCCTTATCGAAGACGACCTGATAAATCGTTTAGCGAATTGACAACTGACGGAAGGGAGAATCGGTATCATATTTCTGCTCCCCTGGCCCCCGTTTCCACGCAGCATGCATTTAACGGAAGAAATGAACAAGAGAGTTTTCTTTCCACCTTTCTATCGCCATTCACATGTTTGTACGCACATACATACACATAAGAACGCATGGATACATATGTACGAATGTCTGGCATTAGTGTGTGTTGTTCTAAAGGACTGCGATACAATTAAAGTGGAGTGTTTGCAAACAATTTATAAAATGAATGTTGAAAGCATTGTTAATTGTTGCTGTTGCATCCACCCGGCTTATGTAATGTTTGCCCTCTCCAGGCGTTTTGTTGCATTCTTCCACTTCTAAGGCTAAGTTAGGTACCCTACAACGGAACATACATTACTTATGTACACCAGGTACTTAATGGTTCGAATTTTTAAAATTATTGTTGTTAAATTATTGGAAATATTTTTTTCGTCAAGATAAAAAAAACTGTACCTGCCATATATATGTTTCATCCGATTTCCTATTTCAACCTTTCCAAAGTAATTATATGCACTCCATACCATTGATATTAGGGACGAAGGAACACATATAGTCTAGAAATCAGAGCACATATTTGCTCGTTTTAACTCGAAAGTGAATCCACAGACAAATGAAAATATAGACGAAGGAATTCTCTCACCGCTTATCTTAGAAACAATTCGGATCACTTGATGTCGTCTATATCGTTTCAGGTGTATGATTGAAAATATTGAAGTAACATCATTTTAAAATGTTAAAAATATCATTGTAAGTTGAAAATTGTACCATAATGAAAGAAAAGTTAAAAATTTCGTGATGACATCGTAATACATAGAATATGATTTTGAAAAGAAATCTTGACTTTTCATAAAAAAAATTAATAAAAAATTGATATTGTTGCTATTTTTGGTAGTATTTCTGTCATTACCATCCATACGGGTAAGGCTGGAAATACATAAAGAGTATATTTCGTTGGCTTAAGTCACCGGCTGGCTTCTTCGGAAATGAACAAAGGAGTCTACGGCCAAAATCGAACTAAGTCAACCTACAACTCCTTTGTTCATCTACGAAGAAGCCAGCCGATGACTTAAGCCAGCCAAATATGCTCTTTATGTATTTCCAGCCTAAGTCTCACTTCACACAACTTTCTCGAACTTATCCTACCATGTATTTATTATACCATGCTTGCACCCATGGTACAATGAAGAGAAG